ATGAAATGTTGACATTTTCAGTCACTGGAGTACGTTGAACCTTATCTAGTGTAATTGCTTCTACTGGCAGAACAACGTTAAAAGAAGGGATTACCTTAGTACATGTAGCATTAACTGGAGCAGCTTGTGTTGCGTCAACTGGCAAAACAATGTTAAGAGAAGGGATGACCTCAGTACTTGTAGCACTAACTGGAGCAGCATGTGTTGCATCAACTGGGACATGGATAGCAATGCCATTGCCATCAACCAAAGCATTCGCCGTTACCGGTTGTAAGCAACGTTTTACTTTGTGTCCCAACTGTCCACATCTACTACACTTGGTAGGTAACCATGCATATTCTACATCCACCATAGATATAAAACCATTTTTATCACCAGCAGCAATCCTTGGAGGGAAAGTTTTGCTCAACTCAACCTCTACCAAAATCTTGGCCTCACCCATGAGAATTGGGTATAATCGAGGTTTATGAGTTGCCATTGGAGCACCTAATCCAGATGCTATGTGACTTATACTAGAGATTGAGTAAAGTATGTTGGGTATTTTTCTTAAAGATACCCAAACTGGAATCGTTTTGATCTCAGGGATAGCTAGAGTTGCTTCAGAAGACCAAGCAGCAACAAACATAAGACAATCATCAACATGTCATAATGCTCTTTGAAGAACCCAATTCCTTGTTGCTTTATCAGGAAAATGGAACAAGTAATTTGATTCCCCAAGCTTCCTAATGGTGATTTTACACTTTCTACCCCATAACTTGTTAAAAACTGCGAAAATCAGTCCACCGGAAGGAGGCGAGCATCTGTAGAACTGACCTAAGATGTACTCTTTCTGACTCTCAAGGCCTTGTAAAAGAACATGAGGAGGGATGGTTACCTTAGGAGTTCCATCATCTAAGTATCCGTTGCTCTGTACAGATTTCTGGAAATTGGATTCATTTTTGCTGCCCAAGGTAAACGAAGATCATCTTCCTTTATGTCAACCGGTTTGTGCATTAGCTCGCGGCACTGTCTTTTCCTTGAATCCTTGTTGTCGCGAAGCTCTGCCTTTTTGAGCTTCCAACAAGGTGAAAGAGAGGTTTCTGGAGCATCAGAATGCGACCTGCTAGAACACATGCAGAGCTGTTCTAACACATGGAGAAATGTGAGATTGGGCTCTTATTGAATTAGAAGCTCAATTATGAGAGAGGTTAAAAGCCCACATGACATGAAACGTGAGGGTTTCGTGGTGGTAGTATAAAAGACAAGAGGTGTTGACAAAAAGAGTCACGCGCTTAGGGTTCATTTGTGAGATGCACACATGTGTGTGGTGTCGTCCCACCATATTGATGGTGATTTGTCTATAAAGATTGCAGCCGTTGAGAAGACGGTGTTGCACCGGTGCTGCTGGTTGGTTGTCAAGCATGCGGTCTTGATACCTATCTTCGTAGTTTGTCCATGTAGAAAAGAGTGGTGGTATGCCATCTAGCAATTGTAGGTTGCAGCCTTTTCTAATGGATTGATTCTGGACTAGGTCCCGGGGATGTAGGAAAAACCGAACTTCGTGAAAAAACTCTATGTGTTCTTTATTTTATGCTCATACATACTTGTTACAAACACAAACGTAGATATCTAGCCACAAACCGCTTTTTCACAAGGACGGCCACATCTCTAGTGAACATAACTTAACAGCTTTGTCACCATTAACTACTTGGGAAGTAGTGTTCAACGATGAGTCTGAAGAGATGTTGATAGGTTGAGCCCAAGCTCCTTGACAATCTGGAAGAGTAGCAGAGAGTGTTGAGACATTGAGCCCTGTCGTTGAGACAAGTAGTGGAGTTGTGCTTGTTCCATCTTTTGAGCTTTCTGATGGAGTGAGAGCCGGCAAGTCACTAGATACTATCGGCTCAAGAGGTGAGGAATCTTCACCTGTGGCCGTAGGAACACTCAATTTTGCAATAGAAGCCGTCGACGGAGGTTTAGGCGACGCCGACCAACGGCACTTACTTGGCCATCGAGGATCTGGAGCTTGGGTTTCATTGCCGGAAAGAGGTGTGGTCGAGGAGGGGAGACGGATTCCGGAACTTGATGAAGAAGAAGAAACGCCCTTTTCTTTATCGATGAGGGATTTCGGAACCATGGCAAGATTAGAGTAAATAACCAAAAGTCAGCTTGCCGGATTGTCAGAGTTGAGACGAGATCAATTCCGTTGTCCGTGATGTGCGACGCGCCGGAACGACGTCGAGATTTTGAAGATTAACGCCGGAGAGCTTGTTCGGAGGAGAGAGAAAGGTCGAGAGGATTTTTTTAGAGGAGAGAGAAATGTCGTTGGTCTTTAGCATGCATGCATTATTCGATTCCTTCATCATTGCAATAGTCTGATCCTATAAATGGTCATGGCTGGCTATCAGCTTCGGAACGATTATCATCGATCCACTTCGGATTGAAAGGATTTCGAATATGTTTCTCACTTTTTCATGCGGAATTTGAGTCATTTTCTTGGGCCATGATGTTTATGATTTCGATATCTATAGGTAGGATTCACTTTGATATTTATTGCATAAAGTTGATCTTGATGATATATATTATAGAGGAGTGACCTATACTTGCATCGGAGTTTAATGACTTTAGGACTCGTAAATCCTATTTTCTCTCTTTTTTTTTATTTTGTGTGGATTGCCTCACGAGAATGGCAAGAACACGAAGTCTTCTCTTCTCTATGTAAGTTTGTTGGTTATGTATTAAAATTCATTTTGAACTTGACCTCTTTCCGTAAATTTATTGGAACTCAAACACAAAAGTATAATTTGAAATTTTTACTATTAAAAAAGGAAAAGTTTAGTTCACGTCAATCACAAATTTACTATTACAATGAAAAGGAGTCTTTACTCTGGTATGGAATCTATGAATTTTAGGTTTTTATAGTTTGCTAAATTCGTTTGAAACGTTTGTTGGATTCATTGGTCTAAAGAAATTAAAATATGTCAAATTACTGGAATTATATGAAATTTCCTTTTCCTAAATGGGCTGTATTTGCAAATCCTTACAGGCTTAAAACTTTAATCGAATTTCTTCCTAAAAAAAAGGAAATTTAAAACCTCTAGTCGGTGGATTTAGTTCTACTAATCATTGGTGGATATATATATATGTGTACACACATACACAAGACAAGGCTAAATCAAAGCAAGAGAGAAAAACTTGAACGAGGAAAGAAGGAAGAAGACATGGAGATCAAAGTGAAGACTCTAACAGGAAAAGAGATTGCGTTAGAGATTGATCTAATGGATACAATTTCTCAGATCAAGGAAAGAATCGAAGAGAGAGAAGGAATTCCATCTCTTCAACAACGAATCATCTACACCGGGAAACAACTTGCTGATGAGGAAACCGCTAAACATTACAATATCGAAGGTGGTTCTGTTCTTCATCTTGTTCTTGCTCTTAGAGGTGGTTACTGATTTAAAAAGATAAACTAGGGTTTTGGTTTTTTATTTTATTTTTTCTTTCTAAAGTGTTTTTGCTACTAGGTTTTGTTAGAACGAAACTCGATTCATGTCTATTGCTTTAGTTTTCCTTTTCTTCAGAAATTTTGTCTAATTCACTGAGAAAACAAAAAAAAAACTTGGTATTCTCTTCAAGTGATTAGGTTACTTGTTGATGCAAAGGAAAATTCGATAATAATTAATGGTTGATTACTTGCGAATCATGAAACCTGATATGAAGGTCTAGAAATCTTAAAACCCTAGTAAACTCTGAAACTTATC